AGTTTTATTTAGATCTTTTAAACTTTAGTGACTTTTTTTTGTCTTACTGCTTTATCAACTACTGAAAGAGCAATGTCAAAGTCTCCTATTATTATGGACTTGTCTATTTCTTCCTCTCTTTCTATCCGTTCTTGCCTCATGTATCCATAAGCCTTATTCTTAGCTAAATTCCACTTCGAATTGTTAGGTTCTCCTGATGAATTTCTCACTTTATCATTATAAAGCATCCTCCTATCTGGCAATAATTCTCACCTTGAAATTTATTTTGCCTGATATTAATATGGCACCTCCACGCTGTATGCTTATTACTTGCATGGTATGCCTTTTCCTGTCCCTTTACTTTTAACCTATAAGTGTACAAAATAGACCTCTGGAGCCAGTATATATTTAAATATTGCTTTTTATCTAGACTGACAATTTCTGCCTTTTAAATGTTTAGTCCATTTACATATAATCTAATTATTGATATGGTTGAATTTAACTAAACCATTTGCTATTTATTTTATATTTCTTCCATCTGTTTTCTGTTCTTTTCCTGCCTTCTTCTGGGTTAATCAAATGTTTTTTATTATCCTATGTAATCTTTCCATAGGCTGTTTAGCTGTATATCTTTGTGTTTGTTTCTAGGGGATTATAATATTCATCCTCGAATGACCACTCTCTACTTATAACTGATATTTACCATTTTATGTAAAATATGATCTTTTAGCAGTATTGTTCTACTCCTATCCATTCTTGTACTATTGTTGTCATTTAACACATAGAAATACGTTATAAACACCATAATATACAATATGATGTTAGAGTTTTTTTAATTGTTTTCTGTCTTCAAATAAATTTAGAGGAATAAAAAAGATAGATGCCCACATATTAATCATTTATGGTATCCTTCACTTTTTCCTGTAGATCTGAGTGGTACATCTGGTGCCATTTGCCTTCCACCTAAAGACCCTTATAAGCATTTCTGTAACCTAGGTCTGCTGGCAAACTACTCTCTTAGTTTTTGTTTATTGAAAATGTTTTTATTCACTTTCAGTTTTGAAGGATATTTTTGTAGAATATAGAATTCTGGGCTAGCAGTTGCTTTGTTTTGTTTGTTTGTTTGTTTGTTTTTTGAACAGTCCGAACCCGTTTCTATCCCCGGCCCTCTCTGCTTACTACTCACTCTCCCTGGACAACTCTAACCAGCCTTTCACATCACCGCCGAAATCTCGTCCCTCTGGTTTCATTGCACACTTCTCAGACAACTCTGTTGACCATACTGTCCAAAACCACCCTTCCTCCCAGTTTCTCTCTCGTTAGCCTGTTTACATCCTGAGTGACGCCTTCACAGTGTGTAACAATGTGTTTATTTGTTTACTTTTTATTGCCTTTGAACCTGACTAGCTCCATCAAAAATTATTTGGTCCGTTTTATTCTCTCCTACACTCTTGGTGTTCAGCAAAATCACCTGGCATTGTCATAAAGGTGCACTGATGTTTCTGTGATGTAAAATGGATGCATGGGAAGTTGCAGGGGCATCGAAGTCTGGCTTGGTGAGACTTGAAAAGACACACTGAGTAGTCCCATACTGCTAAACACTTCAGGACCATCTGTTTTACACACTGTGCTAAGAATATAAATACAAAAGTGATGCATCTTCAAGAAGCTTTCCCAGATTCTCTGAGTTAGAAACAGTGTCCTCCTCTATTCCCGTACCTTCCACTCCTGACCATGGTACTTTTCATGATCTACCTTGCACTGTTGCTCTTTGCTCTCTGTCCAGCTGGACTGCCAGCTCCTTGCAGCCATGTCTAAATTTTCCAACACATACCAGCAATCCTGCAGAAATAACCTTTAGGTATGCAAAGGTTTCAGGATGCTCTTAATATGGTATTGCGCTGAAAACGAGTTGAATGAGAAAGTTAGCATTTTTATTTAATAAGATTCTCTAGTTCTCAGAGGAAAAAAGGGGTGTATAATTCCAAACTAATTAGGATTTCAACTGAGCATTAATAAAGGCCTAACTTCCCACCAAGGACACTGTGTCATGTGTGGGGGAGGACTCCTCGGCCCCTTCCCTGCCTTTGTTCTTGTTTATACCCACTGCCTTCCTAGTTTATGCTTCCTGTAGTTTACATCGTAATAAAGTGCCAGCTATTTCCTGCCCACGCTTCTGTTGGGCTGCAGAGCATGAGAACTGTAATGAAAAGCGCAGATCAGAATATTTTTTAGATTTGTTGGTGATCTTAAAAATGCCCATTTTTAAACATAAATATTTATGTCAGCTACCAAGCTGAACCTCCATTTGTTATGAGGCAAACTTTGATTAGTCTGTAGTCTGAAGAGGACCCATAGAAATAGTAGTTACTGTTTATTATGACAACATTGATGGAAAACCCAGGGAGGAAGGCCTGAAGCTGGTTTTCACATTCTGACTCCATGCATAAAAGAAGGAATCGACCAGCCCTAGAGAAGCATTCAACGGCTCACATGCTGGTTGTGATAACTTATGTTCTCTGGGTTTGGGGACTACAATCATCGTTCTGAGTCATGCACACCTGTGAAATTGAAAGGTGATGTAAGCACAGCTCTTCATGGTGGCATAGGTTTTTTTTTTTCTTTTTGTTTTTCTTTTCTTTTAAGCTGAAAAGAGTTCTTTACTCTCATTCTTAGATACATAAAAGTTCTATGCCTTTATTTGATCTATCCAGGATAGAAAAACAATTTCTCAGGTATCTCTAAACTTTATTAAAAGTTAAGTTTTTTCCTCTCTCTCTGCTCCGATCAGCTTGGGCTGCCTGTTTATGAGAAAAGAAAGATCCATAGGCTCCTCTCTTTTTCTCTGCCCAGGGCTCTTGCTTTCCTTCTAGGGTTTTGCTTTTTATCCCTTTAGCTCAGAAGGTTGCCTCAGGTTCCTTCAAGGCTGAGGGAAGCAGGGTATCAGGTTATAAAGGTGAGGGGGATAAAAGTTGACTTGATAGATAAACGGACAAGGCTAGCGTAGATGCTGCCTGATCTGGCGGGGCTGCAAACTGACTCTTCTTCTCATGGGGTGATTTCATGGCTTTTCAGGAACTCAGCATTACTTGATATGAGCTACATATTTCCTCTGGGGTCACTTGAAGCCTCCAGATATCCAGCTGAACATTTTTAGCATCTTTCTGCTGAGATCTTATTGCTCCCAACTCCAATATCCTAAACATCACCAAACCAGCTCTGCTCATACACAGGACACACATGGATCTGTGAGAAGCTGTGAGAATACGTGCCCAATCCTGCCACCTTTCTTGCTTTGCCATCAAAGTTGCTAACTAGCTACAGACTCTGGAATTTTTAATCTTGCAGGGGGTATCAAGAGTCCAATACTTGACTTCCCAAGCGTAAGGAGGCACTTCTGAAGCTCTTTAGGGAGTTAGTTCCACTGAAGTCTTTTCCCATAGGTTTGAGGTGAGAGAGAAGGACACATCCAATTCACAAGGAGTGGGGTAAGTAAAACAGTACAATATGGCTCCTTTAAGAAATCTTCTACCTATTTCTTTTATCTTCAACCTCTTTTTTAGATTGGTAGTGGGTGGTCAGCTCTGGATTTGAAATTGATTCTTGACTATTTCCTTTGGATGTTTTGGACTGGGCTTCAACTTAGGGCTTCATCTGTGACATTGAGGAAAAAATTCTATTTTAATATTCCTTTGAAATTATAATAATAGCTAATTTATGTTGAACACTTGTTATGTACCAGCTACTATTTCATACATGCATTATCTCACTCAGTCCTTCCCATGATCCTTTAAGGAATGAAAAGTCCAGAGAAGTCAACTAATTTATATAAAGTCACCCAGGTTGTAGGTTACACAATTCTGCCAATGCTGTGTATTTTCCTTTTAGAAAAATGAGAATGATTTTGTTTCTTAGAAAGAAAATGCTATACATTCATCGGGGGGAAAATGCTACAACTGTTTATAATTCTGGCTTTCCAATGGTAAGACATAGAATGTTGGAGCAAAATTAATATCAACTGTCACTTGATAAGCATTTTAGTATATTTATTTGCCTAATTGTCACAGTGAATGGTTTTGTCTTCATGTTGAGACCAGGAAGAAATTGCATGATTTCCCCTAGATCATACAACCAGGAATGACTGGAGCCAAGATTTAAATTCAGACTTTTCAGATCATGACTCACAGTTTACCTTTCTCTCTACTCTGATGGGACACACTAGCAGAAGGAATGTATTTCATGGGGTCTCTGAGCTGTGGCAAATGTTTAAAGTTTGATTAAAGCTACTTTCTAACACATTTGACTCTAGATGAATCAATATTATAAAGAAGTCAACATATTTACTAAACTCCTTGAAAGCAAAGAACATCTTATTCATCTCGGATTCCCTAGTGGCTGGTCCAAAGTTGATACTTTATTAATGAATGAATTGATGAATTAAATTAATAAATTAATGAATAACTTTCTTTAAAACTCTTTGGTGGAAAGTAAGCTTTTATGTGAATTAGATTATTATCCATCTCTTGGGTATTTGCATTTTATAAGATGATCCTGGAAGAATTCCAATGAATGAGATCTGAAGCTGAATTTGTGATTTTGCCATTGAAATAGGGTTGAAAGAGTAATCGAGACAGAGTTTTTCTCTGGAGTCTCAAATTTCTTTGCAGATATGACAGCATACCATGTCTATATGCCTTAAGAAAAAAGTAGAATTATCTTTGTTTGGGTTACAAAATGTCCAGAAACTTTGTATCTCAGGAAGCATGTTCTTCCCCACCCTTTTTAAAATTACGTTCGATTTGCCACATCCTAATAATTTCAGGCATCCAGAAATGGAGCAACCTGCTTCTAACTTCTACTAAGGGAAGTGTTGGCCGGGTTTTGTAAGGAGGATTGAAGTGTTGGTGGGGTAGACCTGATGCCCTTTTAGATACTCTGCCCAGAACTTTTTAGAGATTCTGGAGTTCATTCAGATAGTGATGGCAAGGATGCGGCTAATCAAGTGTGTCTGTTGTCCGCAGGTCTGAGGCGCAATTACAGATGTACCATCTGCAGTGTCTCTCTAAACTCCATAGAACAGTATCATGCCCATCTGAAAGGATCGAAACACCAGACCAAGTAGGTACTTTCATGCTTTCACCCTTCGGTCCTTTTGTATATAATTTATAGCATGGTGGGGAAAAAAAAGGCTAAACATTTTAATTATTTCAAAATAAGTCAATGGAAAGCACATCTCTTTATCTCAAAATTTCCCCTGATATTTATACTGAAACCTCTAGGGCCTGCCTAGCACAACTTAAAGATGGCTTCTCCTTTTTTAGCACAAGTAATGACAGGCTCTTTCATCTGCTTGTTTTTATTCTTTAATTTTTTCAAGAACAGTTCAGCACATTTTCACAAACTTTGGGAAACTCTTAGATCTATCCTAAGTGTTTTTAAAGAAACAATGTTATTTCTATTTGGGAGATGTGCCAGGCTTCAGTGTTGTGAAGTCAAATTCTATGAATATCTTCTACCACTTACCATTTCTAGGTGAAAATTGTTGATTAGTACAGAAACCTAACAAATTCTCTAGTATCTTAAGTTATTTGCATGCATAGCTATTTCTAGTTAAATGACAGCTTGTTCTGTTTTTCCTCCCAAATTCTCATAGTTTTTAAACCAGAATAGGCTATCGTGCATAATTTCAACTATATTTATACTGTGCATCTTTAAAAAAAGATCAGTGATGTTAGCTTTGTAAGTATTTAAAATAGCTGCTAGGACTACTGAGAAAATCTAATAAAAAAGGAAAAAACAAAAAATATCTCAAAAATATATAATTTTCCTAAGTGTAATTGTTTTGATTTCTCTCATATTCATTACCAGAATCATTCAACAGATTTTACTGTATCAAGACCTCATGAATAATGAATGATTCAGTCAACAAACATTTATCGAGTGCCCACTACATGTCAGCTCTGAGGTGTGCCCTGGGGAAGAAAAGCTGAACTGAATTAGGTCTTTCTCTTGCAGAGCTAGCTCCCTTCTAGGCAGGGGAAATAGTCATGTGAACACAGGGATTGTTCTCTAATACTGTGAACACCCAGAGCTTTGAGTACCCAGGAGGGAGCAACCAGGGCAAGACTGACAGGGACATCTGTACAGAGCCTGAGCCTGAGCACATAAATGAGGTTGTGGTCCTAATAACCTTGGTGCCTCATTGGTACTCAGTACGTATGAAGGGCTTCATAAACATTTTTGATGGAATGAGTGTGTGATTCTAAAAGAACGAGTAACAATTTTCTATGCAGGAGTATGAGGAAGGTGCTTTCCAGACAAGGATTTTTTTTTTTTTTTTTGCAAAGTTATTATAAAGATACAGGTTTCAGGGGTCTAGAGTAGGTGAGGAAATTTAAGCCCAGAGTTAGTGATGGACTCTCAGACTTCCCTCAGTTTATGCCTTCTCATGAGTAAAACCCCTTTCATGACTTGCTGGTACTCTGATCCACCCCCAGAGGATTTTATCAAGGTAATTCTTCAAAAAAAAAAGATTTTTCTCTGATTTGTTGTGGGATACCCAGAATGCTTGTATTGAATACTGACACTGCTGCCCTACCCCAGACAGTCTATCCGTTGTTTCTCTAACTGGCGCGTTGTAAGAGGCACCAACTGCGTTCTAACCCACATGCATCTGATGGACACAGAGATGCATTTCAGGTAGCTGCGACAGTCAGTGAAAGTCTTTTAGGGACATGCATTCATTGCTGTTAATAAATAGAAAATGGTAGAGAATAGTGACTCTAAGTGGCACAAATTCTGTAAATACATCATGCATATAGTATCTCCAGCTTCAGGAGACTATCTGCCTCTCCATGTGTACAGGTCTTTTCAGATCCATTCTCTCATTGAATCCCCTGAACTACCTTCAGATAAATGGCATTAACCTATTATTTTATACAAGAACACAGAGGCTAAGGGAGACCAAAGAACTAACTGAACATCCCCTTGCCAAAAATGGCAGAACCAGGACTGAACTTAGCAGTGTCGGACTCAGGCTTCTGCTTCTCCCATCTCTCTGAGTTACTACAGACAGGCCTGGCATGGAGGACTGCCAGTAGAGTATAATGATGAATTTTGAAAAAGAAAGCATTACTTTCCTGGTGGCTTTAATAAATATGTGTGACTTTAGAAAGGTTCGTCTCCTAACAATGCTGCCTTCTTTCCAGTAAACAAGATACTTGTCCCTACCGCAGTAAACACAAGGTTGCTCTCCTTCTAACGAGTGGATCGAGGGCAAAAAGCGCTTGCCACATGACTGTTCCATCTGCCCTTATAGCTAATGGATATTGTGTGTGGGGTGTGTGTGTGTGTGTTTCTAAGACAGATTCTTCCATGATTTTCTGTAATCCCCCTGTCAGCTTTGGCATCAACTTTATGCTAATCTCATTAAACAAGTTGAGAGGTTTTCCCTCTTTTCTAAACCCTGAGTGAGTTTGTAGTAAACTGCTATTACTTCTTATTTAAATATTGGGAAGGGGATGCTTGGGTGGCTCAGTCATTTAAGCGTCTGCCTTCTGCTTAGGTCATGATCCCAGGGTGCTGGGATGGAGTCCCCCATTGAGCTCTCTTTGCTTGGCGGGGAACCTTCTGCTTCTGCCTGCCGCTCTCTGTGCTTGTGCTCTCTCTCTCCCTCTCAAATAAATAAATAAAATCTTTAAAAATAAATAAATAATTTTAGGTAGAATTCATTGGGAAGCCATGGAGACTATACTATAGGCGTATTTTTATTAAAAATGTAATTTCTTTAATGAAACAAGCCCATATTTTCTATTTCTTCTTGTATCGATTTTAAATTAGTTATTTTTCAATGAATTTGCCATTTTATCTACATTTTTAAATGTATTGGTATAACGTTGTTCATGATATCCCTTATTTTATTTATAATTGTCTGTAGGATATTTCTCATTCCTAATATTATTTGTCTCTTCCTTTTTTAAAAAAATTGTGTGACCATTTTTATTAGAAGTTTATCAATCCTTATTAGTCTTTTTGATGAATGAATGTTGGGGTTTGTTGATTTTCTCTGAGTATAGTTCTTTTCTGCCATTTAAAAAATTCTTTTCTTTCTACTCCCTGTGGATTTAATTTGCATTTCCCCCTAGCTCCCTCATAGGAAAGTATAAATCATCAATTTTCCACTGTTTCCTTTCTTCTAATATATGGATTTAAGGCTCTCAATGTCCCTTACCACACTGATTTAGCTACAACCCACAAGTTATTTTTTGTATCCTAGAGGTTTTAGTAGGTAGTATTTTTTATTATTATTTATTTCAACTTACTCTCTGATTTTTACTGTGAGTTCTTCTTCTACTCATGACTATTTAGAAATACTCTGCTTACCACCTAATATGTAGGGGATTTTTCTATTAATATTTTGGGGGATTAATTTGTACCTGGATTCCACTGTGGTCAGAGGACATACTCTAAATGATTTCAATCTCCTAAAATTTGTGTAGACTTGCTCTATGCCCCAGGCAAATGTTCGATTTTGGTAAAACTTCATGTTCCCTTGAAAAGAATGTGCCTTTTTCAGGATAAATGGTTCTATATATCAGGTCAAGTTTTTAAATCTTGTTCAATATTCAATGTCCTTACTGATTTTTTGTCTGCTTATTACATTCATGAGAAACAGAAGGACTTAAAAAACTTCGTACTGTAGGTATGGATTTGCCTGGGTGTCCTTTTAATTCTATTTCTTTTCTTTATATATTTAAAGGTACACTATTAGATGCTTACAAATTTAAGAACTTTTCAAAATATTCCTATTGAATTGGCCCTTTTAAATCACCTTTTGTCATCAAGAAATGTCCTTCGTTACTAGTAATACTTTCTTTAAAGTATACTGACATCTGCTGCCCCCAATTTTTCAAAGCTTTCAAAGTTTTCCCTTTAAATTTTTTGGAAAGATTTTATTTATTTATTTGAGAGAGAGAATGAGAGAGAGCATGAGAGAGGAGAAGGTCAGAGAGAGAAGCAGACTCCCTGTGGAGCTGGGAGCCCGATGTGGGACTCGATCCTGGGACTCTGAGATCATGACCTGAGCCGAAGGCAGTCACTTAACCCAGTGAGCCACTCAGGCACCCTTTTCCTTTAAATTTTATCCAGCTTTTATTTTTTTCTCAAGTGGAAGGTTTGTACGGTATCAGAGCTGGAACTGGAAGTCAGCCAAATGGTTCTTAATGACCCTAATCTGACCGATTAAATCAATGTAAGTATTAAGGTGTCAGTAATTTTCAAGGTCTTATATTTATATTTTTAGTAATAACTTCTAGAGAGGTGTTGAGATGAGAGATTATTAAACTTTGTAGTGGAAAGAGCACTGAATTTTGAGTCAGGGGATTTTATTTCTAATGCAACTTTGCCACTGAGTGACCAGGGGCGGTGACAAATCTTCTTTAGGTCTCAATTCCTTTGTACTAAGTGCTTAGTGATGACAAGAACATGACAAGTGTGTGTCCACTTTCCATACCTTGCTCATGATCCTGGTATTCCTCTCTACTAATCCTGACTTCAGCTTTAAAATTCTTCTCAACACAGGTCCCTAGTCAGCCTTCAGCATTCCTTGGAGCTAGCAATGTTCCTTCAACATTATGTCCAGGAGCTCAGAAGGTGAACTTTTTTGTAAATAGGGTCTTTGCAGATGTAAACCGTTAAGAATCTCAAGATGAAATCATTCTGGATTCAGGGTGGACTCTGGATCGGATACATGGTGAATTTATGAAAGGAAGGTAAGGGATATTGGGACACACTGAGAAGCAGGCCATATGAAAACAGAGGCAGAGACCGGGATTCTCTCTACAAACCATGGAACACCAGGAGCCAACAGGGGCTGGAAAGCAAGGAAAGATTCTCTTCTAGAGCTTTGGAAGGAGCTGCTGATGCCTTGATTTCAGACTCCTACCCTCTAGAACTGAGCATAGATTTCTGTTGTTTTAAGCCACCCAGTTTGTGGTGCCTTTTTTAGGGTAGCCCTGGGAAATGAATACATTGTGAAACCTACTTACTTTTTTCCGTAAGTATCCCTAAGTCGTGTTTTTCTGGGTACCTTCTTCCTTGTCTATGCCAATAAGGATGAC